ACTGGCTGGTGAGGTTATTGGTTATTTTTTTTAAATAAATGTATTTTGCAACTGTTTTTATAAAGAGAAAAAAATGTTTTTAAATGTACATGAAATATTATAGTCTCTACCAATGTGCAACCCAGAGTACAACCAGGTATCCATAAGAGACAATAAATCCCCATTGCTCATTAGAAAAGTAACAAAGGCAGTGAGCTGGAAGAACCAAATTTGACCTAAGGAGACAGGCCCTGAACAAAAAAAGAGTACTAGACAGTAGGGGACAGATCATATGCACCATCTTTTAGCTCATCCTTACTCTGAGCAATCTAAACGCTAGAATCTAAGCCTATAAAATTGGAAGTTCCTCTTCTTGAACAGAGAAACCAGTAACAAGTAAAGAAAAGAACTGGTGTTTAATCTTCCCCACATCCTCACCCCACAGTAGGCAATCAGTAAGAGGTAGCTGTTATCTTCCTCTACTTTATAAAAACCTTGTAAGGTTTTTTTAAAAATGGAGGTTCAGGAAACTAAAAGAACTTGCTTAGTATCACAGAGCTATTAAGCAGTGGGAACAACACTGGAATTGGGATTGTCTGCTCCAAAGTCAGGGTTCTTTCTACCAAGCTATCTCCCTTTTCTAGAAAATACCCTGTTATGTTGCAAGCTATAGTAAATCTTGGCCGCAGTAATGTTCTCTGACCACTGTGGCTCACTATACCTTAGTGAACACTGTAAGTAAGAAAGGCAGCTGTCAAGAAAAAGGAGCATTACTGCCAAGCCCTATATAAAATGGAGTTTGGAAGGAGGCACTAAAACTTGATTCACATGGTCCTCGCTGTCATTCCAAGTAATCAGCCCTACCCTTAGTAAAAGCTTATCACTAATACTTACCCCCAGCTGAGAGGTTGCAAAAGGCATTCCCATGAATACTTGTCAAGTCTACTACATGTAGAAACTTGACATTCCACATTTTGGATACATTAACTTTAAACTTTTAACACTAAAAGGGAACTTGTTTCAACCCAGGAGCTCTGGTGGAGCAGTGGTTAAAAACCATTAGGCTGCTAAGCAAAAAATGGGCGGTTGGAAACCACCAGCTGCTCCACAGGAGAATGAGCCAGTCTTTGCCTTGGAAACCCTATGGGGCAGTTCTACTCTATGAGTTAGAATCAACTTGATAGAAGTGGGTTAGTGAGTTTTACTTCAACCCTAAAAATGGCCATCGCCAAGTTAAATGTCACTACATACAATACGGTGACTAGGGCAATGACTTTTGAGGTTACTCAGATCTGGACTCATAACTCTGTTCTGCTCTTAAATGTAACCTGAGGTGAGTCAATTTAATTTTATTATTTTATATACAGAAATGGAATGATAAATTCTACATGAAAGATTAAATGAGATAACCAAGTACCTAGGGCCTAACATACAGAAGGTGGAAAATACATGATATATACAGTAAAACCTACAAAAGCTGGAACTTGTATAAGGCAGATAATTGTCAAAGAAGGAAAACATTAAATTTTCCACTAATAGATAGTGACAGAAAAGTGGTAAGACTGCACCCTATCAAAGGCAGAAAACTTGCAACGCCCAGGAAAAAAAAAAAAAAAGGCAATCCGTAGAGTTCAGGCTCTCACAGGTTTCACTGTACTATTTTAACACTGGTATTCCTCTTATACCACAGGAGTCTTGGCAAATCAATACTCACATGGTCTGAACCCCTGATTATCTACATAGCAGTCAACTGGTAGAATATGGGTATTTGAGACAAATGAAATTTTTATTCAGTTCAGCTTGTTCAGAAAAGAGCCAGATATGCTCGTTTAACTGTTCCAAAGAAAATTGTAGAGGGTGAGCTCTAGTTTAAACTGGTTCACATTTTTTTAAAAAGCAATATAGATTTGGCTATTTCACATACACACAAACACACACACACACATACACACTTGGACTTAAGTTTGTGGTTCAGTCTGAATTTTGGTTCACAGGTCTACTTCACTCAGATCTCTCTGGTTAGGGTCACTACATCCCCAACACTACAATGAACTCCTTGAGAGCAAGGACTAAGGCTATATTATTCATCTTGATACCTCAGCATCAGTATAGGCCTTGGCACATACCAACTACTCAGTAAACATCCATGGAATTAACTCTGCAGTAAGGCCATTCAGAAGCTCTACTAGCTTTAAGATTCAGGAGGACTTGTTTTGGCAAAGGTAATCCCTTTTTTTTTCCCCCTATAGATATTAGGCACATTTTCTTTTCAAATAATAATGACTAAACAAACCACATACCAAATAGCAGTAACACAAATTTCTATAAACAAAAATAAGGTGGAAAATATCTAGAAAACAGTGTCATTCCAGTGCAAAAGAAAGAAAAACAGTTTTGGAATCAGGCAGATTTTGGGTTCAAATATCAGCTTCATCATTTTTTTTTTAAAAAAAGTTGGCATCAAGTCAATTCCAACTCATGGCACCCCCATGTGTGTCAGGATAAAACTGTGCTCCACAGAGTTATGAATAGCTGAATTTTTAGAGGTTGATAACTTAGGTCTTTCTTCTAAAGTGCCTCTGGGTGGACACAAACAGTCAAAACGTTTGGGTTAGCAGCCACGTGCTTAACTGTGTGCACCACAAAGAGACCCCTATCGATGTGGGTCAAATCATATACACATACACCTATGAGACTCAATATCCACATATGACATACAAGGATAATAATGCCTTCCCCAGGGCTGTCACAAACCTAATGTATGTAAAGCACCAAGTACTGTTGGGGATGAGAGATTTTTACTTTTAAGTATCTGATATCCTTCTCACAGATGGCAGAACCTATAGTGGCCTGTCCCTCCTCTTTTTAGGGCTGCTTCAAATGAATTTGCTGAGAGGTATGCAATGTTAAGAAAGAGTCACCTTTGTGATAGAACAAAGATGTAGCTTAAGTCATTTAATTTAAGTCATTTAATTTATCACTATTTGGAGGCCGGAGGTAGAGGGGAAGGACACTGGCATCAAAATAATACATAATACAGATGAGTGGAGAGAAAGAGAGTCTTCCAGGTTCATTAATACGTTTAATTTCTAACGATACATGGAACAAAGTAGAGTAATAATTCGCTAATTCCAATCATCTGAATACATATTTTATTTTATTGTGCTGTACACCCTCAATTATATACCAGGGAAAATAAAAACTAAGTAAACAAAATCCCCTATAAACCTCTAAAAACAATATTGCTCCATTCACTGGAATAAGGTCCAGTCAAGTCACAAACATTCCAATTTTCTCTCTTCAGTGACTTTCACTGGGAAAGACGAGTCAAAAGAAATTTGAACACATTTAGATTTCCATTTTCAACAAGGTAGATAGAACCAGTACTTCCCCCCACTCATCCCACCTCCAAAGAATTCAGGATACTGAGTTACTAAAATTGAATGATGTCTTCCATTGATCCACTACTTTTAACTGAACACAATAAAAAGAATCTGCACACCTGACCTCATTACGAACTATAATACTTTCTCCACTTACATTTCCAGTTCTAGAAAAAAACTGGGTCAGCTCACGAAACTCAACAGCTCTAACATACAAATAAACATCTGCAGAAAAACTGAATCGAAGTACACTATAGCTATAAAGCAAATGTCCATTACACAGCAACAAAGACAGCACATGCAATAATGTCTGCCATTTCAAGAACATTTTGTTAAAGCCACCCTGTATTTAGGAAAGTTGTTTGTTTAAAGATAAATATCCATTATACTGAGCCTCATTGAAATACTCATTACTGGACCCTAAAAGTTGTTAATCCACCTTTTTATACAGAATCTATGACAACTTGGCTTTATATTGAATTCGTTCTACAGGTATTTATACTGAGGTTTCAGTACAGTTTTCTAAATAATGCAATTTGAACCAATAACCACATCAATGCTACTCAGAATGTTTGCCAACAAATAAAAAACAAAATGCACAGCTCCAATATGAAGGAAATTGTCTTCCTCCTGGCTCCCAAACTCCATTTAAAGATTATAAACATGAATAGAAAATAACCTTGAACATAGTAAAGTCATCCATGCCATCAATAATATCCTTCTACTCATTTCCTAATTATACGCTGTTTTCCTAAAGCAGGACAATCTCAACAGGATGCCAGGAATTTAATACTGCTTTTTAAAGATTTATCAAACTGTCTGGAATATGCAGAGTGATGAAAACTGAATACTGCTACTGAAATCATACTTAATTAAACACATACTTTCTCTAAACAGAGTGTTCCAAATAAAGCCACAATGTTTTCTGCCTTGGCTCTCTTAGAACCCATCCCAACCAGTTAGGTCAGTTAAGCTGCAGTCCTACTAACAGTTTTTTCTGAGCAACCCCTCCCCCAACCCCCACTCCCCCAAAAGTTTTACTTTTTTTTATCTGTGAAATTCTCTGCCGGCCTCGGCCTGGATAATTGGGAAAACCTGAGGATAGGTGTCAGATATGACTTTTGGTAAGTTGTCCAAACTGACTGTTATTGGCAGCATTAAGCCGTGACCTTTACAAACTTCAATTTGAGGCTTTTATACCATTAGTGATTCCCTCCCCTCTTTTTGAAGAGAGAAGAGAAAACAAGCCGAAAGGATGAGTTTCAAAATAGAAAAATCATCACTTCAATTATGAAACCCTCCCAACTCAACAAAGAACTGTTAAAGGTAGCCAAATAGAGTATGTCAGGTTTTTTTGGTACATACACCACTATTAAACATGAGAATCACAACTTGGGGGGGAGGGGGAGCAGGAGCAGAAAAGAGGGGGGATAGGGCCCAGCCAAAGATCTATTTTGCTCAGAAAGGCTTCACTTGGTACTAACTCCTCCATGTGGGGCACCCAGGCTGGAGGAAAGCAGAGGGTTACACAGAACATTTAGCAGACTTAACATTGGATTAAACACACTACTGCAAGTTTCAACAAATGTTCATGGCATACGTAAAAAACACATTTACAACAAGAAAGAAGAGAGGCACCTGGAGACATCTGACACTGGGCATGCTCTGCAGGCAACTCAGTGCGCACATGCTCTCTACCAGGTTGGCGCAGCCTAGCCACAAAGACCTTGGCACAGAACACTGCAGGATGACAAAAAGGAAGGAAGAGAAGAAGCAGTTAGAGGCCGCAACAAATAACTCCTTACACAGGCAACTTGAAGGTTAGTTGGGGCAAGGGTATGCATCCTTGGCAGTTTGGAGGTCAGGGACAGTCCTAGATAACAGCCACAGAAACCTTTGGCGAGGGGCCCACTTTCTGTCCTCTGGAAAGGAAGTTTCTGTTGCCAACCACTAATTTCTAAGATAGTGGACAGAATATCAAGAGGGAGAGAGAAAGAATGTTTAAATGAAAAACCATTAAAGGGAACTGTGAACGTTTGAGGGCAAAACAAGATAGTAGTGAGACTGTGATTATAACTTCATAAAAGTAATGGTTTCTGGACTATTTCATACAATCATAATTGTCATTATTAATTAAGAACCTACTATGTGCCAGGCACATGTATTCTCTATAGTGTAAGGAAACTGAGCTCACAGGATAAGTGATTTTTACTCAAGGACACCCAGCAAGTAAGGGCAGAACCAGAATTCAAACTCTGATTTGCCTGCTACCAAAACTCATGTTGTTTCCACAAGACTATGATGCCTCTGTTGCAAAAACTCTGATTACTCCAACTTTTATCATATGAATACAGTTCTATACTTCCCTAAAGTCACAGGAGACCTAGAAACATAAGGCAAAATGAACAAGAAAGATGAGTGATAGATTGAAAGATAAAGGCAAATAAAAGCTGATTAACACAAACACACCTTTGCCTTCCCCCTCCCCCCAAAAAAAACTTTATAATGGCATGATTTTCACTGTGGACTTTGTTTACAAAGTTCATCCACATTACTAAAACTTAAAAACTTATTTCATTTATCTTTTTCCATCCTCTTTTAAAAGTTTGCTGGTTTAAAGAAAATTAAGACAAATATAAAAATGAATATATACATTATGGATAGTATTTAATAACCATTAGATTATTCATTGTATCCAAAAAGTACTTTTGCAGATCTAAGATCTTAGCAAATAATCTTGCAAAAAAACACTTAAAGTGGGTGTTTGGTTTCAACCAAAATACTCCAGGAGTCTTAGACCTGACCATATAAGCTTCCTATTCACTCTAGCTATAATTAGGATGACCAAACATCCTCATTTGTATGGGACAGTCCATGTTTGTTCTTGTCCCAGCATAACTTTCACTCTCAAAAGTGTTCTGGTTTGCTATCTAGGAGGATCCTGGATAGACTGGGAGAACAATGTAGAACAAAACTCAAAATCATTAAAAAAAAAGGTGGGGGAGGGGGGGCAACCAAGTTTGCTGGTCTGATAGAACCTGGTGGAAGCCCTGAGAGACTATGGTACCTAGCTGCCCTTCAGGTTTGGAATTGAACCCACTCCTGTGGCTTCCAGCCAATCAAAAATCAGACACATAAGCTGAACATTTAACTAGGCAGATACACTCCTTGGAGAGATCAATCATGAGAGAACAGAAGGGCTGTGTATGCACAGGAAAGCAGCTGGGGGTTGGTGCATAGGAGGGAAAGACACAGGGAGGAGGTGGCTATGGAGAGGAAGTGGGAGGAGAGCTGTTGCATTGTGGGAGATTGCCGTCAGTGTTGAAACAAAGTGTATGTGAACTGCTGTATGGAAGATGAATTTGCTCTGGAACCTTTCACCTAAATCACAATAAAACTTAAAAAAAAAGTGTTCTGGTTTGTGGGTTAAATCCGATAGTCACACCCACCATAATATTTAAAAAGACATCTTTGCTTGAAATCAGACAGACTTAAGTTATAATCCAGCATCTCCCACTTAACTAGTTGTATCATATGTATAATGTAACTAGAACATTGATTATTTAGAAAAATCAGTTAAAGAATACATAATCAGAAGAACCCAACAGAATAATAAACTGAGCCACTTTCTGGTATCAATGAAAATGCCATATATTTCCAATCTGTGCCTTTATTCCAAAGCTTATCATAGCCAATATAGTATAAGTGTATCAACAATACTCCAGGCATATGTATTTTGTCATCCCAACACTTACAGAGAAGGCCAAGCACAGAAGATGCTAAATAAATGTTTGTATAATATGAATAGCTGCTAATGAGCTCCTGTTATGTGCTAAACATAATAAACCCTCACAGTTAACACTTGAAAATCACTTTCCATCAAGTCGATTCCAACTCATGGCAACACCACATGCGTCAGAGTAGGACTGTGCTCTGGGTTTTCAATGACTGTGGTCTTTCAGAAGTACACTGATAGGCCTGTCTTCCAAGGCACCACTGGGTAGATTCCAATCACCAACCATTTGGTTCGTAGCCAAGAGCTTAACCATTTGTGCCACTCAAAAACTCATAACACCTAACGATAGGTTTTATTCCCATTTTACATATAAGGAAACCAAGGATCAGGAAAGAAAAGCTTGGATTTTTAAAATAACAACTTGTCCAAGGTGTGAGGAAACAAAGGCTAACTGATGCCAGAACTAGGACCAGATAAGTTAATCTTACGTGACTCTAAATAAACTTATTTTCTTTCTACTACAACAAACTCTATATGCAGAGATAATCTATTATGTGTTTATTAAAAGAATACTTATATCAGCATGTATCAGAAGTGGATGGACAATGAAAGACTCAAGATGCTTTACATATTTTATTAAATTAATGTGATGGTTGGAGCTGTGTGTCAACTTGGCTGGACCCCAGTTCTGTGTGGTTGTTCCCATGATGGGACTGGATGACTGTGTTCTCAGTGGCCAATCTTTCCAAGTGGAGTTTTCCTAGGGGTGTGGCCTACTTCCAGGATATCCAGGGACATCCTGAGAAGAGAGACATTCTTCTGTGGATCGGGACTCTGGTGTGCTGCCTACAACTTTCCGTGAGTGAGCAGCCCACTGTTCGGCCTGGAGATCTTGGATTCGTCTTTCATTGGAGTTAACAGCCAGTGTACTGCCTGCCAGCCTTGAGCTTCTCAGCCCCCTGCGGTTGCAGAAGCTAAGGCTGCCTCCAGCCCAACGTTTCCTCCAGGGACTTTGGACTTGCCGGCTTCTATACTTTTGTGAGCCATTTTCCTAAAATAAATTTCTCTCTCTCTCTCTCTCTCTATATATATATATATATATATATATATATAAGCTTTGCTGGTTTTTGTTTCTCTAGAGAACCCAGTCTAACACAATTAATTATTTAATTTAAATAAATTGCGACACTTTCATGGCTTAATGTTTCTTCTTTTTGAATCTTTGTAGTTGTCCAAATCATTCAGATTCAAGAATGGAGTTTAAGGATTATATCTGCATTCACCAACCAATACCAAATTAACACCAAAGTTCACCTGCAAATTGGTTTTCATTTATTCAGTAAAAACAGCTTTCTTCTGCAAGGTTTAATATTTATTTGCCTCACAGGGTAAAAACCATAGAGGCATCATGTACTGTACTTTGAGTAAATTCTGCTAATAATTTTGGATCTAAAACTTAAAAAAAAAAAAAAAAATCCACATTCTAGAAAGCAAAGAATCAGTGTAAAAACTGAAAAGAACCTTAAAGACAAGTTAGTCCAGCCTCCACCCCTGATTTTAGAAGAAACTAAAGCCCAAAGAAGAAAAATAATTATTTTCCCAACCATCAGATATAACAAATACCTATAAAAATATGGAAAACAAAAAACATAAAGAAAACCTTCAAATTATTAATTTCCAAATATTAATCATTTATTACAAGTGTTTTTTTAAAGCTTGATATTGAACTTGTATAATAAGGATCCAATGTTTAAATTTACATTCTGAGGGTACAATTTCCAAGAATTTATCTTTATAATATCTATGGAAGATATTGTAGGATGTAAGGAAGCTCTGGCGGCTTAGTGCCTAAGGCATAGGATATAGAGAATATTATTAAGGATCTACTAGGTGTCAGCATTGGGAGCTCTGGTAGCATAGTGCCTAAGGCACTTGACTGCTAACCAGGAGGCTGGCGGTTCAAACCCACCAGCCACTCCTCGGAAGGAAGGTTGGCCAATCCTACTTCCGTAGTGATAACTGCCTCGGAAACCCAAGGAGGGGTCGCTATGAGTCGGGGCCGACTCGACGGCAAATAACAACAACAACAACAAGGTGTCAGCATTACGCTATAAACTAAATACTTTACACTGGTATCTGATTTTCACAATAATCCTTACAATAGGTATTACTTTACTCTCCCAGCAGTCCAAAGAAGAAATGAAGGCTCAAAGAGATGAAGTAATTTACTTGTCCAAAGTCACAGAGTGATTAAGCAAGTACTGGGATGGAGCTAGGATAATGAAGACTATTGTCTCTCTTTTTTAAAGCTAACAGTGTTCTATGTTTAAGTTTGTAGAACATTGTTAAAATATGTCTGAATAACTCAATTTACTAATTTCGACAAATATTTATCTACTAATTAAGCTAACAGCTATATAACTTTAGCCTCTTTCCTCTTGAGACTTCTACTTTGAGCTCAAGAGAAAACCAGGAGGAGTACAATGGGGATACATAAGAGAAGCCTTTTGGGGACAGACAAACTCCAACATATGTTTGTTATAATTTACCATTTAGCTACTTATAATGACCAGCATTCTCATTTAAGATTGTAAGAAATAATTCACATTAGATTCTGATATTAACAGCAAATAGCCAATTAGATTGATTATACGAGTAGATCTGAAAGCCAAGGAAAGTAACATTAGCCAAGGAAGCTCATAGTAAATGTTTATAAATTTTGTCATATCTACAATCAAAATTAAATCAGGGCCAATACACTGAGAAACTTAATTCAATAAAGACAAGAACAACAACAGTTTCTGGCATTTTTCAAAAGCAAAAAGTTATTAATAGAAAAAGGAAAGAAAAATCCTAGGCTCTCTTCTTAATAGATACAAGGAATCTCAAGTCAAAAGGAAAACACGGTTGCAGGCATCTTGTCTTCTGTCTGGTTTAAAGAAGAACCCACATAAACTAACTTCTGTTTTTAGGTGGAATTATTTTGAATAATCTCCCACTCTAA